ATTTTTTAGCCAATTTTTTCTATCTCACCTTGACCCCAGGCAGACAGTTGTTTCCTCTACAGTGATATAATTGGTTTACACTTCTGTCACAGTACATATTTTCTATTTCAGTTACCTATTTAAATATCTCCTAAATTGAAAGCTCCTCTAGGGAAGGGATTGTGTTTTATCTCAGTCTCTGGAATAGGGCTTGGCATTTAGTATGTGTTTGTGGTAGGCAGAATAATAGCCCCTTAAAGATGCCCACGTCCAAATCTCCAGAACCTATGAATATGTTATCTTACATGGCAAAATGGATGTAATTAAATTAAGGACTCTGAGATAGAGAGATTATCCTGGATTATTTGGATGAGTCTAATGTAAGCACAAGGTCTTTAAATGTAGAAGAGGGAAGCAGAAAAAAAGATCAGAGTGATGCAACGTGAGGACTCTTCCTAGGGTTGCTGGCTTTGAAGCTGGAGAAAGGGGGCCATGACCCAAAGAAGCTGGGAAATGGCAAGGAAATGGATTTTCACCCAGAGCTTTCACAGAGGAATACAGCCTTGCCAATCCCTTGAGTCTAGCCCAGAGAGACCCATGTTGAAATTCTAACCCAAACTACAGAACACAAATTAGTGTTATTGCAAGCCACTAAGCTGTGGTCATTTGTTATACTAGCCATAGAAAACTAATACAATTCTCTCCCCTCCTCTCCCCTCCCCTCCTCTCCTCTCCTCTCTCTCTATATATATAGTATGTATGAATTTTTGGTGAAATAAAAATGGCATTAAATGAAATCAGGCTCAAATAAACCACAGATATTATATTCTTATTCAAACACAATCAAGACATATAAATGACATGCATTTATCAACACACAGAAGAAGACAAACTGAACACTTGCTCAAGAGAAGGGTTACTTTAGATTCAATAGACATTAAATAATGCTTTTTCGTATTCTTCCATTCCCTCATGACTCATTTCATTCCAGTGAGGGTGAGTCACACTAAGCGTCCTGGGAAAAAAAGAAAAAGAGCAGCTTTGCAGGTGTGAGTGTTGGGACTATCAGTAGTGATGCAGAATTAACATAGGCCAGTGAGGGAGAGTCAAAATAGAGACAGTGGAAAACCTCTCTGAAAGGCCTAGCAGGCAGGCTCCAGGGCCAGACTTCTTGCGTTCTAATCTCGGCTCTGTCCCTCACTGGAAAGGTGACTTCCAGCAAGTTTCTTTTTCTCTCTGAGATTTTACTGCAGTACCTACCTCATCCAATGTTATGAGAATTCAGTGAGAGCCTCTGTCAAGCACTTAGCATGACAACCAGCCTGTAATACGTTTTCAGTGAATGCTCATTATTATTAAATTTATTTTATTATTCTTTTCATTGTGTAAATATTAGAACCTAAAAGAAGAAAAGTTTCTTTCAAATAAATTAGTCTACCTTATCTAATGTGAGAATTATTTCTAAATTATTTATAAAAGGTTGTTTCTGATCAAATGAGTGCTTATTACCCCATAAGGCAGGCAACCTCATAGTTCTTAACCTATTTTAAATCAGTTACTCCTTTGGGGAAAAAATTCTGTTGAAATGATGGTTCTGTCCCTCCTCTCCAAATGCATATACCCATATATACATACAATTTTGCATATAATTTCTTTGGGTACATGGATACACACACCTCATGTGCATATCACCAAGTCTTGGGA